AGAGACGGGAGAAAATCTGTGAGCTGCACTGAACAGAGACAGAAAGCATCTATGAGCCGCAATGAACAGAGACGGGAGAAAATCTGTGAGCTGCACTAAACAGAGACGGACAGCATCTATGAGCTGTGCTAATCAAAGACGCACAGCATCTATGAGCTGCGCTAATCAAAGACGCACAGCATCTACGAGCTGCACTAAACAGGTTGGAGCTTTTGGGAGGGGCAGGAGGGTCAAATGGAAGTTTACCCAGCTGGGAGACTAAGAGGCTCAGACAAGCCTCTGATGTCACCCCCCTCCCTAAATTAACCACCCCCCATTTCCTGCTCCTGATGCAGTGATGTCACAGGACAGCTGGGACCATCACGACAAGCCCCCCTCCCCCCAGGGAGAGAGGACAGTCAATGGAGCACGTACGGCACACAGAAATTCACAACACCCCATAGACGCCTGTGTACACACTCATGCACACACCCACACCAATGAAATAGCACTTATTTAATAACCATCTAGCAGCTCTGCAAGAACAGCAGATACAGACAGCATGGGATCCTCACTGGGCCACAGATACATCCGTAACATTAAAGATGGTACCAGACATGTGACCAGACCAAAAGGAGACACGGTGTGTTATCCAGCTCCTATAAACTAATTCTGAATGTGACACAGACTAGCCGCCACTGGTTATGGAGGTATCTGGCAAGAGCAGTCAGTCAGCCTGTGGGAGGAGACTTCCTCACCATCTGACCCGCAGCACCTCTCCTGATTTTCTCCAGCCACCCGTCCACTGGCCGACACGCTCATCTATTCACAGGTCTGTGCCACATCTCGAGTACATGCTGAACATGGCGGCCTTTTGGAAACGTGACACCCAGCACCCACCCCCCGCCATGCTTCGCCCATCCATCTCCTGCTGATCACAGTATCCCCCCCACACACACACAGAAATAATGTGACACACACAGACAAGACAAACACACACAAATGTGACAGACACACACACACACACACACACAATGTGACACACACACACACACACTGTGACACACACAATGTGACAGACACACACCCACACACACAATGTGACAGACACACACAATGCAACGGACAGACAGACACGCACACACGATGCGACAAACACACACATATACACGCACACAATGTGACAAACACACACACACACACACACACACCATGTGACACACTCAGTATGAAAACTCTTCAAAAAACAAACAGGCAGCCGGAGCCTCATCCGAACACACTCTTCAGCTGTGATCACAAATACAGATGAGTGAGGAAACACACACACACACACACACACACACACATAGCAGTAGCAGCAAAGATGCCCAGCAAACTGCATATAAAGCCCCCCACCCTCACACGTGGCCTCTCACTCTCCTACCCCCACCCCTCCTGGATCTCTCTAACCCGGCTCCCCCAATCTCCCCACACCCCCCTCCTGGCTCGCCCCATACCTGATTGTCTGCCTGTTTTCCCTGCCGGTTCCCAGCTTCCGTTCCCAGGCTGGGGGGCGGGAGCGTCGCCACAGACACATACTTTCCACCCTTGAAGGCCAGAAGCGGCTCCTCCTGCCCACACAGAGCCTCCAGGAAGTACTTCAGGACTGTCACCCGTTTACAGTCTGCAGCAATCCCCTGTGCACAGGCAGAGAGGGCGGGGTTAGACAAGGGTCCCGTCTCCCTGTGGACAGGCAGAGAGGGCGGGGTTAGACAAGGGTCCCATCTCCCTGTGGACAGGCAGAGAGGGCGGGGTTAGACAAGGGTCCCATCTCCCTGTGGACAGGCAGAGAGGGCGGGGTTAGACAAGGGTCCCATCTTCCT